CAAACTCATGTGATTGGGAGGGGAATAACAATACAAATTAGAAGTAACAAAGAGAAAATTGAGGTAGAATGTAGGGTGACTAGCATAGACATCCAGAAAAGTTGGAGTAAGTGCAGTTGATAGCTTGAATCTCTCCAGAACTATTGAGGTGGAAACATGGCTAACATTGGAAAAGTCAAAAAGTTTGTCAGTCTTTTTCCTTAACACCAAAACTTGACTCCACTAAAATAACAGCAGGAGAGGTAGGTGAGCTGCCTGCAAGACCTGAGCTTTGGCTGTGCAAGGGAACTTGCCACAGAGGATTGCTGTAGGGGTTGAAGGAGCCCTGGTCTGAAAGAACCAGTTGTTTGGTAGAATCAGGGAAATCTGAACTCCCTGCAGTCTGTCGCTGCATTGAGGTAAGGGTGTTGGAAAAGGCTGTGCCAGCTTTCCAGTGAAAGGATGATGCTCCAGAAGCCTAGCATGTTATCTGTAATATCAGAATCGGTGTGTAGAAGACCATATATTCTAGGCTCTGTTTTCCAAATTTTCTTAATCAAGACAGTTATTAAGAATTTTTACAGTAAAATGGTTTTGGTAACAACTTGGGAGAGGGAACAACTGTTTCTGTTCATTTTGAGCTACAATGATCCCTTTCTATGCAATTTTGTTTTCTAGGCTCATCCAAAAGTATGTGAAAAGCTAAAAAGTCTAATGGTGGAGTGGTCAGAAGAATTTCAGAAAGACCCACAGTGTAGCTTAATATCTGCAACTATTAAATCTTTAAAAGAAGAAGGTGTAACTTTTCCTGCAGCTGGATCCCAGGTAAAAGCTGATTTGGGATACGTGGTACTGTGGGGTTCACTGGTGCTGGCAGAGAACAAACTGAAAAGCTCTCCAAATGAGATCTTTTGTACTTCTCATCAGAGGGAGAGTAGGGTCCTTGTTCTAGTTTGGTTGCCTCCTAAAGCTGAGGTTCACTTCTATTCATTCTGCTTTTTTATGTCCTTGCTTTACTAAGAAAAATAAGAACAGACTAAAGACTATTTCATGATGCCCTTATGAGTCGTTTCATTTTAGATCCTTCTTTTCCTCTGATCATTTTTAGAGCTTCGTTGAGCTGTCACCAACTTAAATCGAAGCAATTCTACACCCACACTGTGTATTTGGTGTTTCACGGTTCTGATTGCTGACTTGGAGCACGTACCTTCATTTTTTCTTCACAGAGCCTGACAAAACAAAGGGCAATATCTGAAATGGAGACATTTTCGAAGATGATCTGTGCTGTGCTTTCCATTTCCAAGTCCCCATTTCTTGTTCATGCAGTTACCTGTCCATGTCAGGAATTATCCTGGCTCTGCAGTAGGTGGGGGGCTCCAGTGCCTCACCTCACCCTTTGTATTTTACTTCTGGTGGTGTATTATGTCCCTCTTGAAAGGGGCCTACAAGAAAGCTGGGGAAGGACTTTTCATAAGGGCAGTTAATGACAGAACAAGGGGAAATGGGTTTAAGCTGAAAGAGGGGAGGTTTAGATGAGATATTAGGAAGAAGTTCTTCACTGTGAGGGTGGTCAGACACTGGAACAGGTTGCCCAAGGAAGTTGTGGATGCCCCCTCCCTGGAAGTGTTGAAGGCCAGGCTGGATGAGGCTTTGAGCAGCCTGGTCTAGTGGAAGGTGTCCCTGCTGCTGGCAGGGGGGTTGGAACTGGGTGAGCTTTAAGGTCCCTTCCAACCCAAACCATTCTATGATTAATCTAGCTGGCAGATGTGATGACAGGTGGTTTTTTTCTAGGCTTGCTTCTAAATATTTTCACGTTAATTCTGAGTCAGGTGGAGATCAGTCCTGAAAATCAGAACTGTAGCTTCCATTACATGTTCCTTATATGAAGTTTACTTTTCTCTATATTACACACAGAGAGGTTTTTTTTACTTTTGCGATCTTTCCTTCCTCCACAAAGACGTTTGCACTTCTAAATCTAGGATATGTGTTAAAACATATGGCAGAAACATGGAAGAGCTAGAGTACTGGCAACCAATTACACTTCCTTTCCTACAAATACATATAAAATGACATCTTGATGTTTTTACCTCATACACATCCAGAGAAGCAAAGCTGAGGTTTATTAGTATTTGGCACTCTTACACAGGACCATTGATAAGTCCTACACACAGCTAGTATCTGAAACTAGGTTTGTGCAGGAAGACTTCCTTATCTAAGAATGGTTACACTCTGCTGTTGTGGATTCAGTAATCATAAAATCCCAGACTGGTTTGGGTTGGAAGGGACCTTAGAGCTCATCCAGTTCCAAGCCCCCTACCAGCAGCAGGGACACCTTCCACTAGACCACTAGATGGAATGCTACAGTAAGGCAGCTAACCAGGAACAACTTATTACTGATTTTTTTAAGTACATAGTTATAGAGCTTTCTTTTTCATTTGTAACCTGAACTTATTTTGTTGTTGATACATTTGCAGGCTACTACAAATGCTGCTAAGAATGGTTCATCATTAAGTAAAACCAAAGAAGATGAAGATATAGCTAAAGGTAAATTGCTAGTCACAGCCTTGGGGTAGAGTTGTGCCCTAGAAGGTTTGTTAAAATGCACAGACATAGGAAGCTTTACTCTCTTCCACTGCACAGAATTGAAAACAAGGGCACAGCAAGGTGGGAATTAATATATTGTGTTATTCAAAATGGTGTGAAGGTGTTTTCCTCATGGATGAGGCTTTGGGGTAAGATATATTCTTCCCCATCACGTAGCCATTAGCATTTTTTGGTGACTGTTTTCTCTCCATAGAGCTTGGGTCTCTTCCCCCTGCACCCACATGTTTTATTTTAGCCTTCATCTTGATGCTTTAAACAAATCAGACCATTTAAATGTTTTATTCTTTCTCCTCTTTCTTGTCTATAGTTACTGTTAATTAGATGTAGTGAAGAATTTATCAGTATTTCTGATCATGCTAATGATGCTATTGACACTAGTGATGTGGACACTGCTTCAAGTAGGGGGTTGTACCATGAAAAACAGAGGTTTTAAAAAATATTTCATAACTTGTGCATGATTATGTCCTGTCTTTTAATCCTGTTGCAGGGCAGAGTAAAGCTCTTGAAATGTGAAATATGGCTAGTAGTTTGGAGCAAAGATTTTAAATTTAAAGTTAGAGGAGCAGTTACGGATCGAGTTTATAATATAAGAATAAATAATTTTCTGTTTATTTTTACTAGGAAAGCAAACTGCCTTTGGATATACAGATAAAATATACAAACTTCCTTTTTTTTTTTATTTCCCTTAATTGTAGCTATCGAATTGTCTTTGCAAGAGCAGAAACAGCAACAAATGGAAACTAAATCCTTGTACCCATCTGCAGAAATCCAGCAGAACAATCAGAACTCAAGGAAGGTGCGAGCTCTGTATGACTTTGAAGCCGTCGAGGACAATGAACTCACCTTTAAAAGTGGAGAAATTATTTTTGTGTTGGATGACAGGTATCATATACTCCAATGAAGGTGTCTTTATTCCAGAACTATTGTTTTCTTAGGATAGCAAATTTTTCCTCTGATGCTTTTTTCCCTGCACAGAAATGTATATTGTCACTCTCGCCTCCCTCAAATCCATTTACCTTCCACTGTTCTTTCCATTCCTCAAGTTTTTGACCTCAGGTCATTTTTGGTGCAGGAAGAACCTCACTGTATATATGTTGGGTATTTCATGCTGTGGTGTAGGTTGAATTCATTTGTAGTTTTTAAGATAAATGTTCTTTATAACCTATGTCATAAGAATATGTGTACACATCACAGAATCAGAATCCCAGCATTGCCTCGACTGGAAAAGCCCTTTAAGATCATCAGGTCCAATCATTAACCTCACACTGACAAGTCCCTGACAAATTTATGACAGTGTTAAATACCAGCTGCTTCAAGAAATGGTTAAATCTCTGGCTATTGAGCATCACATTTGCTAAAAATAAAACTGAAGAAAAAAATACTTAATGGTTGTTGTTACCAGTGTTGCCCCAATGATAGCTAAGGAGCAGAACGTCTTCCCTGCTCATGCTGTTCTAATTTAATAGACTGTGACAGATTAATTCTATTTCTAATGTTAGTCCCCACTTGTGTACTTGTAAACTTTTAGATGAAGCTATAATGGGCTATCCTCTAATCAATCTAAAGAATTGAAGAGTTGTGTTAAATTTTGAGTGATTGCTACTGAATTATTTTACTTCCTCTGATCCCTCCTCTCCTCCCCACCCCTCTGCCTCAACTCCTGTCTTCACTGCTGGGCAGCTGATCTCTACAAATGTTCTCCTTTGCCTTTGTTATTGGATACAAAGGGAAACAAGTGTATTGGATAGCACAGGTTTTCTGTCAAAAGCCCAAAATACGTCACTAAAAGTTAATGTTCAGAGTTTTGTAAGATGTCTTTATTTCCCCAGCGATACCAATTGGTGGAAAGGTGAAAATCATAGAGGAGTAGGACTGTTTCCATCTAATTTTGTGACTTCTGACTTAAGTGTGGAACCCGAGGCAGGTAAGTTATCTGCTAAAACCTGACACATTGATTTGGGAAGGTGTGCTTATGGAACTGGTGGAACTGCTTATTAGCAGTTATTATGGTGGAACTGCTTATTAGCCCATCATCAAAATACTTTCCAGAAATCAGCCCAAGGAGAGAACTGAGAGAGAAATCCTGCTCTTGTTTCAAACAAACAAGCAAGCACATACCACTACTGTAGCTGACTTTAATAATTTCTGCCTTCTGATTCTCTTCTAAGCTGTTGCCTTTTTCCTGTTACAGAAATGCAGCTCAATTTACCATAATTCTTTGTCAGTAACATATTGCATATGAACCCAGTAACTATTTAAAAGGTCAGTGTCTCTTTTCAGAGATCAGACCTATGTAGAATAACATTCACACCCATGTCAGTGGTTTGAGAATCACGTCGTTACCTTTATTCAAGCTCGTGATACCAAAATAAATCTTTTAACGCTTACGACTTGGCTGACAGTAACTGCACGTGTGTTGGAGGTGGTTTGAGATGCTGATGCAACTCGAGTCTTCCCCTTGCTGGGCCTAGGTTCATAATCAGGCTAACAGCCCAGAGGCAGCAGCTTGTCAGAACATTTTCTAGGCAAAGCCATTCTCCAGCAGCTGCGTGCGTCACTGCCTGAAGTACTTATTCGGGTTTCTCTCTCGTTTAAAGAGCTGAGAGCAAGCAAGGAGAAAATGTGTATTTTAAGTTAGTGTCGTAACACAGCTGCAGAAAATAAACTGGTGTTTGTTCTTTCAGTAACTGTGGATAAAAATCCTGTTCCTGAGGACACTACAGAAGAAATTAAGAAAGCAGAGCCTGAGCCAGTTTATATAGATGAGGTATTGAGTCACTTTCAATGTAAAAAATTGAAACATTCCTTTCTTACTGATTGTTAGCAGGTAGTTCTTTTTATATTAAGAACTTTTTTTTAAAATTTGAAAATCAAAACAATCTCTGCCATGCTTCAGAAATAACTGTTCCTAATCTTCTCTTCCCCTTTCAGGATAAGATGGATAAAACACTGCAGGTACTTCAGAGTATAGATCCTACAGATTTAAAGCTTGATTCTCCAGATCTTCTAGACTCAGAAGGTACTTGGAGCACTAAGTTAGCTAGTTTTTGTATTTCTTCTCACAATTGCCGTTTGTGGATTGAACCAGTAATTCTTTTGCATTTATTTTAAGCTTAGAGAAACCATTGTCTGTACTAATAGTGTGTTGTACAATAGCTTATTTCACAGTGGGAGTGTGGGGCTATAGGTATAATTCTAAATTTTCTAATAGTTGCCAAGCCAACTCTGTCTTTAGCAGAGTAATTTGCATGACTTCCAGCTAGTGTACAATGCCTGATGTCTGCAAGATCCATCCACCTATAAAACTCTTGATTGAAATAAGCAATTCAGTTTGTGTCAAAATTTCAGTTTTGCTTAAGAACCAATTAGTTCAAGGTGTGCAAGAACAATGGAGCATACATGAAAAAAGGAGGGTTCCTGGAATGGAAAAAGTGAAGGTAAAGGAAGCTGTGCAGTACAGCAGCTCTGGAGAGATTCACAGCCAGTCTAGGTTAGATATTCCAGTAGGAGATGAAAGTCAGAGATCTTGCACAGTGCAAGAAGAAATGCAAGATTTTCCATGTTTGTCATCAGCAGTCTTTTGTTTGAGAGGACAGAGGGAAATACGGGGGAGGATGACAAAGCAGAATAACCAGAGTATTTTTATTTTCTGTTTGGAGGAATGGAACTAGGTGCACTCTCCAATTTTGTCTGCTATTTTAGTGTATGTGTATAAAGTATTTTTTGGCTACATTTAAACTTTTAATTGTGCAAGACTCTAACTACCTTGACACTTTTATCTTCACAGATATTTGTCAACAGATGGGTCCAATGATAGATGAAAAACTAGAAGAGATAGATAGGTGAGCCATAACATAGCTTCTGTGTTATTTACTATGAGTTACACTGAACTGTGCAGTTGTATTAATTTTTTTTGGTACTTTTTCTTTCCTCTCCCAAACTAGAAAATCTTGAAAGGAAGAAATTTGGACAATTCTACCTTTACTTTTTAACTCTTAGGTACCGAAGTCCCAGTGCGTGTACTAAGATTTGATTGCTGCTTTCCAAAATCTACTGCAGAAGTTACTGGGTGGATTTTGTATTGGCACTTTTTGACTGCAGCCTTTGGCACTGTGTCTACAACTTGGTATTTTCAGTCTGCTCAAAATATTTTCAGTCCTCCGTGACAGGAAAATGTGTTCAGCGCTATCTTCACCTCTTTTCCCCTCAGACTCCTGGGGCTGTTTGAGGGTGAAAGTAGTAACAAACCCTGTGGAGCTGCTTACCTTATTGCAGCTGGGGAGGAATAGTTGTTCACCACTTGGCCTCTCCTTCCAGTCCTTTTGGTGAAGAAACAGAACGTCAGTTTTACAATATAGATGTGTAAGAAATGGACCATTTATCACAGAATCACAGAATGTTGGG